GGTATGCATGTGAATGCCCCATGATTTTAGCGCCCTAATGGTGGGCTTAGGCTCCGTTTGTCGCAGCAGTGCGGTGGCGATGCGACTCCGCACCGCTGTTTTGGCATTTTGGGTAAACTGCATTTTGACAGCAGCAATAAAGTCGAATAGTTTTGAGATGTGAGACTAAGGTTATGTTTGGCACAGTCGTGCGGTGGTGATGTGAGACGGTGTCATTGTTTTGGTCGTTTGGGAAAACCGTGCAGCTGCTGCTGAATCCAACGCTTTTAAACAACGGTCTAACTTTTTCAAAAAAAAAATTATTATAGCCATCGCAGCTTTTTAAAATATCAGATTATTCTTCAACAGCTTCACAACAACTTCTTAATAAGCCGCAGCTGCCCCAATTGGAGCCTAAATTAGTATTGTTATAGACTACGACTAAGATTACTCCCGACAAAGAGTTAGGGTATCATTTTGGCACTTTTCTTATCTCTATCTTACCATATGCATTTCCAATGTGCGTTGTGCTTCTGAAAATCCCAGTCACCAACACACTGGCAACCATTAGCGCATAATTTATCTCTGGAATGTATACTTGCCCCTCATACTCTGCAGAAGTATGAACAACTCTTACTCTTGGAAAGCAAGATAGACCTTGAGATTGTTGAATAATTGAGAATGCTCCGGATATCATGGCCTGGCTTGCAATTATTGCAGCTGCAATTGCAATTATAAAACTTGGCCAGAATAGTGGGCCTGCAAGTTTAATTTAACGATATTAGTTGGTTTTGTAATTATGTAAATAACTTTGGGGCATTTGCATACATACTAGTTACCGCCCGCCCAATTCTTTTGTATTTAGATATCTAACACCTAAGTTTTACTGGTTACATTAATATCACCCAAATCTTTCATATCAAATCAAAAACACCACGATTTTAACTTTTAAAGTGAAATACACATTCTCATGTATAGGTAAGCAGGGCATGTATGTAAAAATTAAAGTTTTGGCATCAGATATGTAAATGCATAGGAATTGAGTGGTATGTATATAAATCTTCTAATAATATTTGGGACTCATCATACCTGGAATTGATTTATAGAAAGTGTCATGAACTTCTTCTGGAAATTTGGTTAGATATGAAGCTTGTCCAATGTAGGCCAATGATACTGCTGGAAACAAAACTGCGGTAAAGCTAATCTGTCATTGCAAAAAAAATCTAGGTTAATGATTTTTAGTTTTACATGTCAAAATGACAGAGGAACAAACTAGCATCATAAAGAAGCAACAATTATGACACAAAATCTCCATGAATAATGCAAACAAGAATGTCTTGATTGCATGCCAATTGAATTTTTATTTAGAAGAAAAAATTATGGGGAATTTACATACATTCGGCGCAATTCTTATATATTTTTGTATCTAACATCTAAACTTACATATTTACATACATAAAACTTCAATTTTTGACATCACGTAAGAAAAAAATACCACTGCCCCTAAATGCACATTTTCATGCATAGTTTTCTATTACCAGGTTGTTATAAATGTAAATATCAAGCTTTAGGTGTACGATATGTAAATGCATGAGAATTTTGTGGTATGTAAATTTCCCTAAAATTAAATACGAAAACACTATTATTGTATAAAAATTAATGGAACACCATAGCACAGACAGTAGTACCTGAATTGCTCTAACGCTGAAGTGACTGAGATCAGCAAACATGGCTTCAGTTCCTATTTAAATTTACAAACTTCAGTACACTGTAGCTCAACAAAGAAACATATTGAGGCTTGTGAGCAATATGACATTTTGCAGAATTACCTGTAATGCATAACACAATACCCCCTAGAGAGGTCCATGCTTTTTTTCCATTTCTTCTGAAGTAGTCAACAATATACTTCGGGTTGAATGCCCGAAGAACCCGAACATCATATTTAATTAAATTATAGACCCCAATTCCACCAATTAGACTAAACCACAGAACAATGATAGGTGCAAATGTGTATCCAACTTTATCCGTGCCGAAACGTTGAACGGAGAACACAAGCACCAAGATAACTATGGAGATCAGAGCAATTTGTCCTGCGAATTCATAATTGAAATGTAATTTAGAATAGGAGAATTTACATACATTCCACTCAATTCCTATGTATTTTCTTATCTACAACTTAAACTTCAATTTTTACATACATGCCGTCTTACTTGTGCATGGAAAGGTGTATTTCACTTTTTAAAAGCTAAAATGGTGGTACTTTTGATGTGATATAAAAGATTTGGGTGGTATAAATGTAATAAATAAAGTATCTGTGTTAGATATGTAAATACATAAGAATTGGGTAGTATGTATGTATATGTAACTTTAGAATTCTAGTTTTACTGCTGCAATCTTCTCTCTCACACTGCTACAAGATATTGCATGAATCATACCTTGTGACAGAGATGTTGCTTTCTCCTTTATCCCACTCACTGCTGAAAGTACTGCAAAATAAATAAATGAAGGTGGTCGTTTGGTCCGCTAAAAAAATAATGTAATGTAAAATAAATGCAATGCAAAAATAATGTATTTTATTTGAAATATTTTAGAATAATTTGGTTGAAATAAAATTAATGTGGTTGAAATAATATAAACCTAAGACTTTCCCTTTTTTTTTTTTTTTTTAAGGAAAATTTTTTTCCTTAATTAAGGAATTTTGCTTAATTAAATTTCTTTAATTAAGTTTTCCTTAATTAAATGCTTTTAACAAACATAATTCGGGGTGGTGGCGGGCAGCGGAGGCGATAGCCAGAGTTGGTGGCCGGCATCGGCGGCAACACTTTGCATAGAGGTATGTATTTGAAATTCGGCCAAATTCATCGAAATGCAAATATACTGAAAATGAATTGAGGAATAATTTCTAAATTCTTTCATATTTTGAATTGAATTTGAAATTCTCCATATCAAACGCCTGAAATCCTAAAAGCCATGCAAAAAGAATTGCAGCTGACCAAATAGATGTTTTACATCTATTAATTGGAGAGGACTAAACAGAAAGAGATAAATAGGTTGAATGAGAAATTTCTATTAAGCTATGAGGAATGAATTCCTCTTCAAAATATGATTCTTTTTTCTATATATGATGCGCAATTCAAACTTTTTAGGTACATGTTTTGTCCCTGCATGAATCTCTCTATTAAGCTAATAATAATGTGAATGATTTCATGTTGTTTCATTCATAACCAAAAATATTTACTAAATTTACAATCCTAAATTTCAGTAAAATGGTGGGTCTTTGAGATACAAATATACTTGCTTGGTTTCTTAGCCTTAATGAAAGATTTTTTTAATTTTTGTAAAATTGATAATTTGCAGCTGAAGTATGACGGATTTTTTTCTTGCTAGTTCAAATTAAGTTTGTATGGTGTCAATCTTATGCTGAAATCCAGTCCATTATTTGTAGAGAAACTCTCAACCCCCTCATGTAGAACATTTTTGAACTTTATCATATAAGTTGTTGGTATGTGTACGCTAAAAAGGTGTCAGCATGAATCTCGAAACAATCTAGCGGATAGGAGAATAGAGGATATAAAGAACGACCGGCCACGGGCCCGGACGACCGATACATGGTTCGAACAACCGCCAACAAGTCTTCAACCGACTCCAGATAGGATGTCCGTCTTCAAGCATGCCAAAGATCCATGTCTTTTGGGATGACAATCGATCTTCTCTGAACCAGCTGGTCGATGGCTCTCCCATTGATTAGATGCTGACAAAGGAATTCAAGAGGAGCGATCTCTAAGCCTACTGTTGGTTATGCAGGACGCCCAATCTTATCTTATTTAATATTTTTGTAATTTACTAAAGAGCCCCTCAAAATCTAATGATGAGTGGGTTGTCCTATAATTTCATAAGACTGTAATACTGTATGTATAAATAAGGGATCCTCATAATCAAAAGCTTATAGGCTTTTATTGTCTTCTATTGTCTTCTTCTTTCCTTTACGCTACTCTCCATTTCTTGGGTATGTCTCCAGGACGGTTTTGGATTAAACAACATGTATTGTAAAAAAAAGGTTCTTTTGAAATTCTAAACTTAGTAGTAAAGAACATCATTTTCGAAAAATCAATTATATTATCTACTAATCAATACCATAAAAAGATTATATAATCTACTAATCAATATGGACAAAGAATACATAATGTGCAAGAATAAACTTTAGTTAAATAACAGTCAAGTGCCAAAAGTCTCCCATCAATTAAAAAAAAAACAACTTCAAAGCTGATGAAAATGGTTAATGAAGCAATTAATGCACTTAATATGCCCACATGTATTAATGTAACAAAGTATGGTTTAGGTGTTAGATATGTAAATACCAGAAATAGCTGGAGTCAATACACCGTCACCAATTATCATCGAAGTTGCGAGTATTGTGATAAGTAAAAGCCCAATTTGCAGCGATTTGCGGCTCTCCAGCTTATTTTTAATCCATTGAGCTCTTTTTAAACTCTTGGATGGTGTTTCTAATCTGTAGTTTGAAAGCATTGCATCTTCAGCCTGCTGGTTTGGTATCAAGCTGATCTTTACATGCCGAGATATCAGGGAGTAAAGTGCAAATGTCCCTCCTGCAGAAACAAAAAGGTTCCTCCTTTACTCAATTTTTATTCAGATAGGTATAATTTTATTTCTTAATATACATTTGAGAGAAATAATTTGGAAAGTTTACGACATATCACGACATATCACTCATTTTCTTATGTACTAACATATTTAATGTCTAAATTTCAATTTTTACATATGTGGCGTCTTACCTATGCTTGAAAATATGCATTTTAGTTTTGAAAAAGTTAAAATGGTGATCTTTTTTATGTGATATGAGAGATTTGGATGGTAGTTAGATACATATGTAGAAATTGGGTGGTATGTTTATGAAAACTTCTTAAATTTTTTTTTTTTTTTTTTTGAGAATATATAATTTTATTACAAAATTGATTTGATTATATTATTATGATTAAAATTTATTAAAGATAAGTTTTAAATGTATAAATTTATTTTAAAATAAATCTTGTATATTTAAACAATTAATAACTTTTAAATATTTATTTTCTCAAAATAAATTTAAATTTATAAATTTATCAAACCAAAATATATTATTCTTAATGATGAGTCCAAGTGGTATAAAAATATATATACATATGATTAGATATTGATTTCGAGTGGATTCAGATTGTTTCGCATTCTGTGTGCTGCCTCAAGATATCTAAGCGGTATTATTTAGGATCGTAAACGAATCGAACACGAACGAACAGAGTTTGTGTTCGTGTTCGGTTAATTTAAAATTTAGTTTGTTTGAAATAAGGTCATGTTTGAAAATGTTTGTGAATGCACTGTTCGGAACACGAGCTTTTCGAACGAGCCGAACACGAGCCAAAATTGAGCTCGCTCAAGCTCGGCTCGTTTACAGCCCTATCTACTGTTAAGTTATTCTCAATTTGAAACATCAAATTTCATTATTTGCAAATGCTATGGTCAAGCCATTATGAATTTAATGAAAGCAAAACATAAAAGTTATAGTTTTATTGCGTTATTCGATATTTAGGGTTCTATTGCTGTACATGGAGGCAGTTGGATGTTGATTTTATAAATAGACAAGATTTGGATATGCATGCGTTTCTTTCTCCAGTTTTTTGCTGAAATGATGAACTTAATTGTTATGAAATTAACGACTTCTTCCCTTTTAAGTACTTGATTTCATTCACACTTTCTTTCTTCTTTCTTACAATTTAAAAATAATAAATTACAAAAAATAGAGACGTACGGTATGATAAAAGTGTCAGAATGGTCCCCAAACTCTTTTAACGAAGGCTAAAGGGACTATTTTAACCCATATTA